CATCTGTATTTATTAAAATAATTTTCAATACTATAATTAAAGTTTCAAGTAATTGTTACTTAATTTTGAATAAACTTTTATTTAATTAACCAAACAGTTTTTTCCAAATAAAATAGTATTTTTTTTTTCAAATAATAAATATGAATTTGCTCAAGTCTGACTATATGCATCCCACTCCTATCTTGTTCGTGTACGTACACTCGAAGTACTTTACATCTGTCGAAACGATGAAAAATATTACCTGTTAAGTGACAGTCAGTTCTTTTCACATTATAGGTTACTGGATATTATTGACCATGTGTAGACAAATCGTTTTGTCAGATGTAAAGTGCCTCGAGTGTACATACTCTCAATGTTTTGTAGCGATTCAACACTTTGAACATTAAATTGCAGTTTGTACATAATATTTATACAAGAATGGCTGTGAAATATTGTTCTTACACATACGTAAGTGCAAAATGCTCATTTCGTTTTCTTCAGTTTTTTTCCAGTCTGAAAAATTTTAGCTTTTGATTTAGCCACAAGGTGAAATATATAGTCAAATCACGTCTCTATTCCACCATATAGAGCGAGAGTGACACGTTGAATGTGATGTTGATTGCGAATCAAGATATTGACATGCGCTTATTAAATCCATGCAGTATAATAGAAATAATTTATTATTCTCTCATGCTCTATCTCTCTGGTTTCTTGGACTAAACGTTTGGCCGATGTTTGGTCAATACGGGTTAAAATCCTTTACGTATCGAAGAGTCCTCAATTGATCTAATTACTTTTTAGTAAGTAGTTGGTAAAATTTGGAAATAAAAGCGATTAAAAATAGTTTTAAATTAATAAAAAACACATTACTTGATTGTCATATCGAAATAATTTAACCATCTTGAAACGTTAGAAGTAAAATGCACGTAAAAAGAATTACTTATCTAAGTGAGAACATGTGAGAAGAAGAAGTACATTAAATTTTAAAAGACTATAAAGTTAAATGTATATTATAGTATGGGGTACATATGAGTAGCGTTAAATTTTAATTAGTTTTTATAGTACAATAATTTTGGTTGCCTTTGATTATAAACTTCTCTTGTACAATGTTGGAAAATTTACGTTGAAACTCTCATTCATACAAACATCTATAGCCATACCAGTGACTTAGGTCATTTTATACGAAAAACATTTAAAAGCAATGTATAACATCTATTTCAATCATTTATACTAAAGATTTAAAAACTTTTAAGAATTCATATTAACATTATCTGTATTCACGTAATATGTATTGCAATCATTTTAATGGATTTTTGGATACAAAAACTGACTCACAGTTTTAAGAAACACGCAGGATATGAAAGATACATTCATCAGTTACATCTCAAAAAGTGGGAATTAAGAATTCACATTTGATAAATAATTGATTACCCTGTTCAGTATACCGTTATAGCTTTAGTGTGATAAAGTACGATCTTGCTATAAACTTTAACGAACGTGGTATCCTGTATTTATTTTAAAAAAAGGACCATTTTGTTTTGTTTTTTAATGAAGCACAATCTTATTTTTACTTCAAACAACGTACTACCTTAATTTTTTACTTTCTTATTACAAAATATACCACCAAATGATAAGTATATTACAGAGGTATTATATACAATTATTTCAAGAATTTTTCACCAAACCAAGTAAAAATCAAATTACATGAGTGAAATGGAATAAATTCATTCATAAAATTAGTAATTTCAATAAGATCAAGATTAAATATGTCTTATATTCAGAACAATCGAATACCACGAAATAATTAATAGAATCAATTCGTATATCATGTTTTTAACGTGTCACACAAATTTGATTGCTAATATGATCGACGAATGTATGATGGTGTCGTGTTTATATTTGTTAAATTAATTAGTTGATTTCTTGTTGTTTATCTTTCTTTTTTTACACTATTCAAATATAGTTCCTCATACAAAACATCCACGCTTATTTTTATAAGTATATAAAATATGATCGTGAATGTGTTCCGTATTTGACGCTTCTGAGATTTCCTCCTGATCTTTTATTCATTGTGCGTGAACGCGAGCGTGCTATGATATTTTCTCCGGAAATGTTTTTTATTTTCCGAGAGAGTCTAGTTTATTAAAGATCATTTTTTTCAGCTTTCATGTGCGAGGGAACGAGCCGGAAAGAGGTTCAGACGTTATTCCATTTCTACGAGACGATATTCAACTTTCAATCGACGAATACCGTGATAAACTGTATTCCATGATGGATGAAAAACATCGAAAGCATAAAAATACGTAAGTTTCTTTTTAAATTCCGACAGAGATGAATTTAGATTGTTGCAATATTGAATAATATCTACAACTTGAACCACTAATGCGATATATTTTTTATTGGCTGAGTAAAAAGGAAAAAAGCAATTTTTTAGGTCAAAATCTAGGGTAAGACGTCTCTCGGAGCACATAAGCAGGCAGCAAAGCTCAATCGACCAAGGGGACGACGGCGTGAGAAAAAGCTTTCATCTATCTTGTGATGACCTAAGGAAAGAGAAAAATAAGAGCGACAATTACAAAGTCTTATTTTTTGGAGGTAGAGTGAAATACATCTTGGTAGCAAGTTATCTTATAAAATATAGTGGCAATGTTTATTTTTAGATAAGAGAAAATAGTTTAAATTATTTCATTAAAGAATAGTATTACAATGTGCAGTCTCAATTTTTATGACCCATGTTAGAAAAACTGTTAGTAAGTTACTCTTCATTACAATTAAGTTTGAACATGTTGAAACAATAATTTTCTCAGAATTTCGTTATTATAAGCTCTTTGAAATATTCGTATGGCTGTTACAAATATTCCGCAGCATATTTTATTGAATTGTAATTTTATAAAATAATAGAAACAATAATATACAAAATAATATCTCACACACAATTATTTATGTATTTCTTTTGCAGAAGAAGCTCGACAAGTCTCAAGTAGTAAGCTCATTCCTAGTCGGAAAAAGAGCAAAGGAATGCAAGCCATAAATATGATGATGAATGGAAAGGTCTCTCAACATGATGGTATGAACACATTTTTTTTTACTGTATTAAATAAGGAAAAAAATTTTTTTTATCTCTCAGTTAAAAATCAGCTTATGCGTTTTCGATAAAGTTTTAACAAAATTAAAAGTAAGAACTTGCTGTTTAACATTGTAAGTATTACCTAATTTTTTTAACATAGGCCAATAATATATTTAGATTTTTAAAATTTTGTTTTATGTATTTAAAATATTTTAATTACAACACCATCTGTATTTATTAAAATAATTTTCAATACTATAATTAAAGTTTCAAGTAATTGTTACTTAATTTTGAATAAACTTTTATTTAATTAACCAAACAGTTTTTTCCAAATAAAATAGTATTTTTTTTTTCAAATAATAAATATGAATTTGCTCAAGTCTGACTATATGCATCCCACTCCTATCTTGTTCGTGTACGTACACTCGAAGTACTTTACATCTGTCGAAACGATGAAAAATATTACCTGTTAAGTGACAGTCAGTTCTTTTCACATTATAGGTTACAGGATATTATTGACCATGTGTAGACAAATCGTTTTGTCAGATGTAAAGTGCCTCGAGTGTACATACTCTCAATGTTTTGTAGCGATTCAACACTTTGAACATTAAATTGCAGTTTGTACATAATATTTATACAAGAATGGCTGTGAAATATTGTTCTTACACATACGTAAGTGCAAAATGCTCATTTCGTTTTCTTCAGTTTTTTTCCAGTCTGAAAAATTTTAGCTTTTGATTTAGCCACAAGGTGAAATATATAGTCAAATCACGTCTCTATTCCACCATATAGAGCGAGAGTGACACGTTGAATGTGATGTTGATTGCGAATCAAGATATTGACATGCGCTTATTAAATCCATGCAGTATAATAGAAATAATTTATTATTCTCTCATGCTCTATCTCTCTGGTTTCTTGGACTAAACGTTTGGCCGATGTTTGGTCAATACGGGTTAAAATCCTTTACGTATCGAAGAGTCCTCAATTGATCTAATTACTTTTTAGTAAGTAGTTGGTAAAATTTGGAAATAAAAGCGATTAAAAATAGTTTTAAATTAATAAAAAACACATTACTTGATTGTCATATCGAAATAATTTAACCATCTTGAAACGTTAGAAGTAAAATGCACGTAAAAAGAATTACCTATCCTCTGCCCATAAAAATTAGTTTCAAAACCAAAGTTAGTGCGAAGAAACAATTAAATTATATTATTTATTAAATTTATTGATTTATTATTCACGTACGGTTCCTTCAACGCTAAAAATACTTAAATTCATACCTGCTCATTTAAACTTATCGAATCGCAACTTAAATGGCTCTATTTGCAATGACCTTTTTTTTTAAGGGATAAATTCAAGAGATTTGTAATACATTATGTTTTAACAGGTACACAAAAGGAATAGACATGTGGTCACTTGGGTGCATCCTCGGTGAAATGCTCCTCGGAAAACCTTTGTTTCCGGGTAGTTCGACAATCAATCAAGTTGAAAGAATCATGGCAACACTTCCACCGCCTACGCCCGAAGGTAATTTCCTAATGGATATTCGATTCTGTAGTTGGTTCCTCATCGTCACGATGAATTATTCCAAAACCGTGTTTAATTGAAATCTCAAATCATTACCCATTTTTCGCTGAATTGTATTTTAAATTTATTTGTCTCATTACTCTTCATGATCAAAGATACCAGCGAAAATATAAATTAATATTCTGCGGAATTTTATTGGCTACTCCATCAAGGATACTCGACATCTTCATGAAAGCAACGTATTTCATTTAAATTCTTGCTGTTATCTACGTATATGCAAAGCTTGAAAGTAGGTTACTGTTGAAAAAAAATTTTCATAGTTGGAATTTTTTAAATTAGTTGTCACGAAGGCCATACCTTTTTTCACCGAAAGTAGTGTATATTTACTTCGTAAACACCGTATTCAGAAAAAAAAACCATCGTAGTTTAAATCGTATTTTTTTTTAGTTATATTTATCTCCTGTGTGAGATGTAATATTTTTTCTTCCGTAACCATAACGGTAATGGATATGACGTTTTCCCTTATTTCAAGGAGTGAAAGTACAGTCTCAGGGTAAAAAGTGTATCCGCTTATTGGAAAAGTATTTTGGCATTCTCTGCGTACAAGTCGCCTCCCCAGCCGAAGACGAGGGTGGTAAAAACGTAGAGGATAGCAAAAGACTTTCCTGGTAAGTAATAGATGCGATTTTTTATGAGAGGAGAAATATGGGCAGTGTCGCCAGCAGAGAGAAAGTCGTATTTCTACCAAAGGTATGAAAAAAGAAATTGGGTCACGATAATACAGTCAAAGAATAACATTTTTCTGTTTACATTTATGATCTCGAAGCCAGTAAATAGTATATTTTTCTACCATGGGTGAGGGATGGAGATCCCGTAACAACGTGAGTAAAGCCGAAGCTAAGGGTGTCATACTATGTTTGACGTGTTTGTGCTCTGTTTACCTCCTGTGTAACAAATGACGTTGTTCCTACTTTGGAAATTTTTTTTACCTTTGGACGTTCACTGTGTGCTTAGTGCAAAAAACTTTTCGGATGAAGGCCGCATTGCTGCTTATTAGGAGAATTTTTTGTGTCCTTTGCGAGGAAATTTTTTCAAAGGCTAAAGGAAAGGGTGGAAAATACACATAAGATAGCAAAATATTTTCCTAGACGAGCAGCCAATGCAAATTTTCTTCGGAGGTGGAGTGTGGCCTTAAAAGCAGGAGAATAAGTCTTAGTTCCAACAAAAGTATTTCTTATATTACGCGTACGTGTCGAAGTTCTATCTTCCCTCTTGTAAGAAAATTTACTAACTCTTCTATCAGATCTACACTGCCAAGCCTTCTTCAATGAAATTCAATAGACTATCTCTTGAGTGAAGTTGATACTCCATACTATAATTTTTACAACCAAGACATACTAAAATAATTTAACCAAAAAAACTGACGATAATTTGATAACTAAATAATTTTATTTTTTAGTTATATGTTTAGAATCCCACGATTTTTATTTTATTTTATTATATCATATAGAGAGTATCGTTAAAAATACTTAAAAAATCAAGTTTTAGGTTTACGGCCGAAACTCAAATACAAATTTAAAAAAATTTAGTTGGATGATTGTGTTGATTTTTTAAATACTTTCTAATATTTTGTAGTAAGCGATTTTTACATTTGTGAAACGATAAAGTTACAAGTCTGCGTAGTCTCTTACATAGAGCAATGAACAGTCTTGTGTTGGGTAAAAACTGCACAAAAAATTACGAATCAACAAAATTTTATATAATTTTGAAAGTATTTGTATTTTGTTAATCAGTACCCTGATATAACAAAATAAATATAACAAAAAAAGCTTCTTAAAATCTAAAAAATATCTGCAAGAATATTTCCAAGTAAATATTTTCTTGAAATTAAACGACATTGTTTTACGTCGAGGAAATTTTCTTGTTTGGAATTTAATAATATATGTTTTCTCAAAGTGAGAAAATCTAATGTTATTTTGGCACTATTCAAGTGAATATTTTTTTGAATTAAAGTAATTTTTTTTCAGTGCATGAACATAACTATAATTATCATAGCATTCGGCTTCTTTGCTCAAAACACGTTAGATAATAGAGCATAATCAAATACGTAAGAATGTGAGTCATTCAGAACTCAATTTTTCATACGGTTTCACGATTTTTTGGAAAATTACATTTCCAAGCTGTTTGACTTAAAATTGTAATCCAAAACTTGGTGTACCCTATAATGAAATTCTGTACTTTAATGCTATATTATGGAAAATTTATGTTTTTGAAGATTCTAAACATATACCTTTATCAAAAAAACGGCTAGATTATCTGTACTAATCATTTGAAATTTCGTTTCTCACCAAGAAAAAGTGCTCATACTTTTTTATTTTGATAATAAGAAAATAGATATATTTAAATACATTATGTAATTTTTTGTAAAGATATTGCTGATATCCTGTCACATTGTATACGAATAAATTGTTAGCGACTGAAAGAGTGGTCATTTTTCAACATGCCTATTTTGGAAGCTCCTTCCTCGTTGAATCTATTATACAAAAAGTGCCGAATCCCCGTAATCTAAAACCACATACTATTTCATAAAACAGAACACAGGATAAAAATTTCATTTTGGATTACAGAATTGCATTAATGTTCGTGTTGTATAACAACTGTTTCAGATTTGGCTTCAGTTAGTGCTGGTTATGGTACAAACTTATTAGAAAAATCGCCAACAAGTCCGCATAAAACGCTAGAGGACCTTCTACCTAGTGCATCTGAAAAAGCATTGCATCTTGTTCAAAATTTGATTGTTTTTAATCCAAACCATCGTTTAACAGCAGTTGAAGCTTTGGAACATCCATACGTAGCAAGGTAATTTTTTATTTGATTGGTAAGTCGTTATGAACGTAAGATTTTTTAAAATTTCAACCACAAATCATTCATCAGTAAGCATGAGGCTTAGGCTTGATCCATTTGTGGTTTACTTGGTCACATGATTTTAAATGGAAATGTTCATTTTTTTTATTTTTTTGTTAGCTAAGACTCTTTTATTTTTTCACTTTGAGAATGAAGTTCTCAATTAAAGAGAAGAAAGATCGCAATTAAAAATTACGCCATTAAACCAAGTTGAATATGAAATCTTGTTTTCATCAAATATTTCAAAAATAAGAGTACTTAATTTTGGAAAAAATTTTGTCATTATCATAGACGAAGAAGTTAAATTTTGCACCCGTAAAACCACTTTGTGTCCGAGTAGTCATGTAAAATACTTTTTCCGCCCTCGGGTGGTTTTGGGAGGCTGGTACTTCCTCGGGCAAAAAAACAGTTTTCCGCACTCGGGTGGTTTTGGGAGGCTGGTACTTCCTCGGGCGAAAAAGCAGTTTTCCGGAACTCGTTCGAAAAGTCTCCTTTACGAACCTCGTGACGGACCTCGCCTTCGGCTCGGGCCGCAAACCTCTCGGTTCGCAAACAGAGACTTTTCAAACTCGTAGGAAAACTACTATTTCCAACCTCGATCGTTTTTCAGGGTTGGGTGTGCCCTCGGTAGGAAAAGTAGGATTCACCACATAAAAAAGTGCCATCGCTCCACGGCTACCTTATGCCCATCGGGCTGCAAAATAGCCCCAGAGACGATGGCACTTATACGACGAAAACTACTATTCTTATCGTGGACACAAAGTGAAACTGCCACTTTGTGCCCTTGGGCCACACATAGATCTAGAAATTCTAAAGGGGAATCTCTTTTTTGCTGGGAAAGCGCGTTACCAATTTCTAAATTTTCATTTCTAAGTCTCTTATGAACTCGATTCTTTAGACATAGTGCGGTAGCAACGCATGTCAGTTTGAGTATAGCAGACGTGATTGAAGTTGTCAAATTGGTTCTCAAAGCATTTTTAGAATAGTCATTCCAAGTCATTAGAAAGAATAGCTAAATTGGTTTCAAGGTGATTGAAAAGTATAGGCAAATTGGTTCTCAGCCATTAAAATTGGCCATCAGAAAGTGAAATACATATCAGCTTCAAGTTTGCAGTAAGGGTAGTGATACCCTTAATTGTAACGCAAAAGTTCCAATTTATAATTACGACCATGCAGATTTGTCAGGAAGTAAAAAGAAAAATGTAGAGTGTAAATATTGTCATGACAGCTATTTCTTATTATCTGACGAAAAAATTTGGAGCAGCTGTAGAAGGTTCTGTCTATAATTACAGTGCCAATGATTATTTATTTTCTTCAGATGTTTAAAGTAATTTCTTTTTAATGGTTTCTACATTTCTATGCGTTGATAATTACTCTATGCTTTTGAACTACCCGACAACCAATTTGAATACTTTTTTATTTTGGGAACCAATTAGACGGGCAGTATTTGACAGAGTTGAAATACTCTGAAATACTTTATTTCAGCTTTAATTCAAGTTATCCAAAAATTTAATTACTCTATTTCAATAAAATATCTTAACTACATACTCTAATAATAATTGTATTTAAAATAGTAATTCAAATAAAATACTCAAATAAATATTTTATTTCAAAT